GAATACACACACACACACACACACACACACACACACACACACACACACGCCTATGGGTCTAAGGGTGAAGGAATACACACACACACACACACACATACATACACACACATGCCTACCATTACCTCTCTCCCTGATCCTTGTTCTCTGCCCCTCCTCAGGTCCCTTCTGCAGTCCTCCATGTGGGGCTGGATCTGATTGCAATCCTTGCTGGAGGTTGGGCTCTAGAGAATTCTATTGGGCCACATGCCCGCCCACAGGCTCTGCCTTTACCCCTGTGGCCTTCCTCCCTGGGCCTGGTTGTGTGTGTTCACTGGCCTCAGACCAAAGGTGTTACCGCCCACACCCTATCAAGACAGTTGGCCATCTGGGCTAATTGGCCCTCATCCTCACTGGGGTCTCTGTTTCCCTCTCCTAGCTTGGCCTCTAGGTTCCTGCGTGGAGGAATGATTTCTGATCTTTTGTGCTGTGGTCCAAGGAGAACTGGGAAGGTTTATTTCTCCATCCTGAGACTCAAATCCCAAATCCTTTGTCCCTAAGGGCCATCTAGATAGCCTTCTGGGCCCTATCGTTGGCATCTTCCCAAGCTCCACCTCTCAATGCTAAGGCACCATTATACTTAGTTCCTAACTTCTTATGGGTCCTAGTTGTCCTTTCTAGGCAGGAGGAGGTGGGAGAGGGCCAGGCAGGGGTCTCTTCTGCCCTCTAAGATGGAATGGGGTGACCAGGACGTCAAAAGACCACTGTGCCCCCGAGAACAGGGTTGGCCAGTAACTTTTTGCTCTGCTCCACCTCCACCTGGCGGTGATTGAAGGAACTGCTCCTGGTCCCCAAATAATTTTTTTTTTTTTTTTTTTACAATTATGGCTGCATCCTTGGGCCATGAGGCTCACATTTTTTTTTAGCAAGCAGTGCAAACCAGAAAGTTCTAACTTTCATAGTGAAAAAAGGAAAGGGAATGCAGCCCTGGTGGGGATTCAAACCAGAGAGGTCCTGGAGAGAGTTCCTGATTATCCACTGAGTTCTCAGACCCTCTGTCCTCTAGCACCTGCAGCAACTCCTTACCCTCATCCTGTAACCACATAGATGCCTCTGTCTTTGACATCTAGAAAATCTTGGGTCCTGCTTTCCCTCTACCCCGCCCAAGACAAAACAAAATAAACTCTGCTTAGGTTTTCTGGGGACTGTCTTCTCTTGCACTCAAACACACCAACACATTCATGCAGACACTCACTGATGGGCCCCATCAGCAGCCTGGCACACTCAAATAAGCCTTCAGAGGCAAGCGAGGGCTCTGCTAACGACTCTTTCCATTTTGGCCAGGCTGCCTGAACTCAGAGGTGGTGAAAGTCCTGAGTGAGGCTCAGCTGGCTGCAGAAAGAATCCAGTATTACTGTGCCCAGTGGTGTAGCCGGCAGGTTGAGGTGGGATGGTAGGTGTATCCGTCTCCTCTGCACAGGTTTCTGGGGTGCACTGAGGGCTGAGATGAGCCCAGGGCACCCTTCATCCCCCTCTAGTCTCACTAAGCAAGGTCCCATCCCGCCCATAGGGGGAGATTGTCAGTCACCAGGGAAGAGAAGAAATAGAAGAAAGAGACATACTGGAGAAGTTGACCATTGCGAACTGCTGACACCTGTCCCCGGTGTATCCCACAGGACACCTACCAAAAGAAAGAAAACCAGAAAGAAAGAGCCAGGATAGCAAGACACAGGCATCGCAACACCCCGGCACAGGCTCCTGCCAATGCCAGCTGGGTTCCTTGCCACCGTTACCATTTGTACTGGCCTTGCCACTCTGCCCCTTACCTGTAGCCCTGAACTTTAAACCCAAGGATTAGGCCAAAAATGAAAAACAAAGCAAAACAAAACAAAACAAAAGAACTAACGAATCAAAATACAGAAAAGAAAAAGAGAAACAAAACAAAACAGCCAAAGATCAAAACAACCAACACCCCTGGCCCTATGCCCTACATTGGGGGTGGGGGTGGGAGGGCTGCACCCGGAAGCTTTCTAAGGAGCAGGGACTTGTGTTTGTATCTTCAAACATACTTTGCTTAGGATCTGGCATGTACAATCGCAAAGGCAGTTTCTCCAAACATCTCTGTCCGAAGAATCCGTTTGGACATCTGGAGAAGGAAAAGGGGAAAAATCACAGAACAAACTGGCATCATCCGCGAGGCTAAGGTTAGAAATCAAAGTGCACAGTGATGAATGAGAAAAATCAAGTCAGGCACTTGGGGGTCACACTTGTAGCTGAAGGGGCTGGAGTCAGGGCTGGGTGGAGGGCTCTGAAATCTCATTAAAAAAATCTCTCTAATAGATGTGGCTCCGTGGGTGGTGGGGAGGGTGGGGGAGGAACAAGGAGGAGGATGATTGAGGGAAGTGGGGTGGGGGAAGATAGGAGGTTACTGATTCATTGTCCTAATGGTCATTGAAACTTTCCTTCTTACCTGCCTGCTGCCCCATGAAGCCAGAACTATATAGTTCCTTGGTACCAGGCAATCAGCTGGCAGGCTGCTGGGAGCCTTGAGGAGAAGCAAGTTATTGGGAGCCCCTCCTTTCAGTCCCTACAAAATGATTCTCTCCAGGGCCCTTGGCAAGTGCCTTTATCCGTGAAACAGCCCCCAGAAAGCTCACAAGAGAACTCCAGAATGCTGTTCCCAGATTGTGTGTCTGGGGCAAAAATGACCTTGGAGATGTTCTATCTAGTCTCTCAAAGAGGGTTCTGTGGCCAAATATGTTTAGGAAACCCATTGCCAGGGTTTCTAGAAGGGCTGCAATATACATCAACATATAAAATGCTATGAAGAGTTTTGCAGAAGGAAACAGCTAAATTTTCTAGTATTTCCCAAACTTATTTGACCATGAAAATTGGTTTTTTGAGTAATTTTTGTAGAACACAGTTCGGGGAAAGTGGCTCTAGGGCACTAGACATGGAAAAGCTTACTGGTGATAGTGAGAGATTGGAGAAGAGCCAAAATTGCCAGCAGCCCATGGCTGGCCTTCCTAAGGCCAGATGCACAGTATCTGGGTTCAGGTGGCAAGAACCACAGTGGGATTGGAGTAGGCTCACTGGGGACACTGGGAGCCTGTTCCATGTCAGGGACCTATCTGCTGCAAGGGAAACCTTGTCCTTTCTCTGTGCCCTGCTCCTCCATCACTGCCTCATTCTGGCCTGTCATTCTCCCATCTTGCCCTCTCTATGACACTATCCCCTCCCATATGCCTGTCTTGTCTTGTCCTCATCCCAAAGATGTACTTCCTTCTGCTATCTGGCTGTTACTCATCCCCTCAAGTGAGTCTTAGTCTCCCAGATTTCTGGGAGACATGGTCAGCTCTATACTTGCTTCGGAACCCTAGCAATACTTTAGGAGAAACAGACAAGGCCAGACTGTATCCCCCTCCCCCTTCAACCTTCCCCCTCACAGATAGCTCTATGTTGCCTCTACCTCTTCTTCCTTAGGAAATCAGGTAAGCTTATCACCTCTTCAGTGTTCTAGTATTTTCTCAATAACAGTCTACTGCTCAGTATTAATCAACCTCATCTTCCTCAGAAGAGGAGTGTACTCTACCACATACCATTTTAGTGCGCACTAATCATCAGTGAGTCCCTTGGACTTAGAGTGGGGAGTGGCCATTGTCTATGATAGATACTCACAAAAACCCTGTGTCCCCCACATCTCACCTGGATTTATGGAGAATGGGTGTGGGAGGTGAGCAAAGAGCTGGAGTTTCTTTGGATTGTAACGGAATCTCCTTCAGAGGAGCCAGGAAACTGGGTGTTACGTGGGAGAAGTATGTCTGGCCAGTGGGGGGGTGGCGGAGGGTTGGGAAGTGTGTCTAGAGCTGCCAATGAAGTTGATGCACACACATCTTGGTGGGCATGGTGGCTTGGAGAAAGAGACTTCCTCCAGCTCCTTGTCAATACATCCTTCTGAGATCCCTAGACCTGCTCCCAAGTCTTCCCTGCCCAGAAAATGGAGGTAGTGGCTAAGGCTTCCTAACTAACTCCAGCCAGACTTGGTTCTTCTTCAGTTCTCAGAAACTGATGTCCACTTGAGATGGGGACTAGAAGGGGGAAAGTGATTTTTTCAAGCAGAAGTGCCTTTGGGGATAGAGCATAAAGAACAAGAAGTTGCCAAAATGACTCTTAGAATCCACAAAGGAACAAGAAAGAGATACATTTGACTATGTCCAATGTCTGAGATTAGCCCAGTTCTTGGAGGAAGGGAAAATCTGTGTATGTATGTGTATGAATACGTGTGTATGTTTAAGAGAGAGAATGGGGATATGTGGGGAGAGGGGGCAGGAAGGGATAAGAGGGAAATTTATTCCCACTGCTGTTCAAGCAGGGTTACTGTCCCAAGGCCCTTGGAGACCAATGATAACTAAACATATCCTGATCCCTGGTGCCACATCCAGCCTAGACTACCCAACTGCATTCTCAAGTCTTTCATGGCCACTGTGCTGCACAACTTCAGGTGATACCATTGAAATGGCCTATAACATGAATGATACTTCCTGGAGTTGTGGAAAATTATGGTCTGACCTTCCTGCCCTGGGAAAGTGTGTTCCCCACTCACTGAATAAAAGAAGGAGCTCAGCGCATATGGGAGGACTGACATCCAAAGCAGCTCTTTAGGGCACTGGCTCCTTCCAGGGGCTCCTAGACATTCCTGTCTTACTCCTTAGCGCTGCTTGTTGAGGAGGAAGCACATCCAGGAGGTTGTTCTGGGGTGGGTCTGTAGGCTCTGATATCTACTCAAAACCAGGGTCAAAGGGTACTACAGTGTACATTAGTCTACAGGGTACTAGGATGGGTGTCTGAACTCAGTGTGAGTGGACGGTTGGTGGCTGATGGGTTTCCACTCAAACAGTTATTTACCCTTTGAGTTTCAGGGGCATAGAGGACCGATTAGAAGGAGTAGCAGGTAACAGCCTTCTCAGCCCTTCCCACCAAGTCATCAGCTATGACTCTGGGAAGGTCTGTACCCAGGGCTGGAGAAGAGCAGGGGTGAGAGAGGGGCAGAGAGGAGAGCCCACGGGCTGCATCTGGGGTGACAGAGAGGTCAGGCCCTCTACCTCTCCGCTTCCCCACCCCATCTCCTGGGCCTCAGTTTCTCCTTTTGGTAGCCTGGGGATAATGCCATGTGTGCTGCCCTCACCCGGGGGGAGAGAGAAGATGAAGGATGAGGGTGTGCCCCCGGGCACTGGAGGGGGTGAAGGGTCTCTGACCTTATGAGGGTTGGGGGTGAAGCTGTGGTGAGGATGAACAGGCAGATGGGTATGGGATGGGGGGTTGCAGGGAGACAAGGGGTGGGGAGGATGAGCCAATGGGAAAGGGAAGCATGCCACTGGTATGTGCACAGGGCTGGAAAGAGAGTCTTGTTCTGTCATCATCCCCTGAACCAGTCCCCAAGAGTCACGCACCAACCGTGCTCTACAAAAACACGGAGACAAGAGGAGAAAGCAGCAAGAGGAAGTGCAGAGGCCCCTGTCTGGCCCAGACAGGAGACAGTCACCTTGATTTGGATCCCCATTTGCAAATCCCCCTGAGTTTTCTTTTTTAAAAACAAAATTCAGTAGCAGTGACACTTGCTTTTGGCTTTGAATTCCAGAAAAACAGGAGGGGCGGAGTGTGCCTGCTTTCCAACACTCCCTGCAGGACTCTGAACCAATACACAACAACAAGTGTAAGAAAACCAGGAAGGAAAACTGAGTTTTGTAGAAACTGGAATGAAACTGACCAGTCTAGTTTCATTATCCAAGCTAAGCGGAAATGCAAAAAAATCAAAATAAAAAGTAAACAAACAGCACAAATGGTAAGACGTGAGTTCCGTTTCCTAAATGCTCTCCTTTTTATTCCATTTCAGGTGTCATCAGGAACCCCAATTGTCTTGCCCCCCCTTCCCTCCCAGCTTGCCCGCCCCCAGAATGGCCTCTGGGCTCTGCCCTGCCCCCCTTCCCACCCTGCCCTTCTCCAGCACAGTACTGAGCATCTGCCCTCTTGCTACTGAGGGGGCTGCAATTCTTACTGTCCGCAGTCCCTACCAGGGTGTCCCCTTCTCCCCTGACAGCTGGCAAAGGCAGGCAGGGAGGTTGATTACAGGAGCCCGAGATGGGGAAGGTGGTGGGTACCAAGTTCAAGGTGTAAGCAGTGAATCCCAGTGGTCCTGGCCAGGGGTGGAAGTGGGGAAGGGGACTGGATCCCATCTTCTCAATGGCTCAGGTCTCTGCTCCTCTCAGATTTAAGGGATTCAAGGTGTGCAGCCTTGCGGGCAGGGGCCCTTGGGAGCACACAGATGTGATCACTCTTTCCCATTCTACACTCTAGTACTGAAGCCCTGGGCGGTCCCCCCCAACCCCCCCATAGCCCTGGAGCTGGGGGCTGATTTCAGTGACAATGCTGGATTCCTTCAAGGTCCAAGGTCCGGGTGCAAGGGGCTAGGGAAGAGGAGAGATCTGGGGAGGAGGGCAAGGGGAGAGGGCTGCAGGGCTAGGCTGTCCCTGGGAGGGATTCCAGGGCCCCTGTGAGTTTCTAGTAGATCTGTTGCAAAGAACTTAGTATTTTCAAGGCTGGCAGATTCCCAAGGCCTGTAATTCTAATGTGGTAGCATCTTAGAGGAAGCAGCAGAAGGATGAGGGCTAAGCCTAGGTTGGGAACTCCCTAGAAAACTTCTTGTCACTATTTGGATGATCTCCTGAGATCCAGGATGGGGGAAAAGGTGGGGTGAGGGAGGCCAGCTGGTGGCAGGAGCCTGGCAATCTGGGCCCAGCTAACCCAGCACCAAGAGGCATAGCCTCTCACTAGCACACTCTTAGGTGGAGGGACTTTTAAAAGTCCCCAGACCCTCACCTTGTCTTGCATAGGAAAGTTTGCAGATCTGGAGCCAGAGGCCAAAAGCAGTGGTCCTTGTCTGCCTGGGGCAGGAGAGCTGAGGTATGCTGGACTTGACCTTAGTCGTAGGGAGGCCAATCACCTTTTTTTAATCTCTGTCCATATTCTCAGATGCCATGGGGATGGGGCAGCTTTGGCACCTTGCCAGGGCTCTAGACTTGGGCTGTTTTGTTAACTAGCCTCCCTCTATATTTTCCCCAAGATTTGCCTAGAGCCCGTGCTGCTCTCACCAAGCTCCCCTGACTTCTCATTCACCTCTAGAGATTCGGTCAAGAGGACACAGTGGGCCCAGCTGTCCAGAAGAGCTGACAGGGCCTGAATAAGCCCTCGCTCATTGCCATATCCCTAAGTACCCTGTTAGCTCAGGGGAGGAGTTGGTTCTGATACTCCTTGGATAGCCTGTTGTGAGAACAAGCCCTGGCCCCTAGGAAGGCAGAGAAACCCAGATTCTTCTCAACTCTGACTTTGCACTGGGCCACCCCCTCACCCCACAGGGAGGAGGATGGGGACTTAAGGGGGCCAGGCAGCACCCAGAGCATAGCTAACTGGACACTGAGGTTCTGTAGAGTGGGGGGAGTAGCCAGATCCTGAGGCAAGAATTGTTTCCCCCCCTCAAGACTATGACAGGAGGACCTTCACCTACCAAGGGCCCAGGAACCTGTGCTCTGCCTGACCCTACCAGGCTTTTCACTGCTGGAGAAGACATGCCCTGGGAGATGTTCATCAAGAACAACATTTGGAGAGTTGCTGAGAGATTGGAGTAGATAAAAGGGAAAGAGAGAGAGAGAGAAATAGAGCAGGAGAATAGATTCCCAGTGCCCCCAGAGGGTATAGACACCATCTCTCTAAAGGGTGTTGGTGGAAGGGTGGACATCAAGTGGGGTGGGTAGGGACCTAGGAAACTGGGACGGCAGAAGCCCCTCCGCTACGTAGAGCGAGCTTACATCACCTTATATCCCAGTAAAACGCTGGGAAATGGGGCACACCTCCCTGTCTATATCCCTTGGGGTCCCTTTGTTAGTGGCTTGCAACCCACTTTTCCTAGAGCCCTCCACTTCTGCCCCCAGCGTCTCCCACCCTACTCTTGCCCCCATGCCCACCCCCACTGGTCACTTACTTGCAGGAGAGCTGGTTGATGCCTTCGATGTAGTAGCAGACACCTCCATTGACACAATAGGACTTGGCTGTCTCATTGCACTTCCGGGCATGTCCCGACCAGGATGACAGAGTGGTGCTCACTAGGAGTAGGAGAGACATGTGCCAGTGACCCACTGGGACCACCCCAGGCCCCAGAGGCCACCTCCTTTACTGCCTTGCATGCCACATCTGAAAGTTGGAAGATCATTGAAGATTACAACAATGACTACAGAGGGGAAGATCTACTGGTTCCTCTCAGTCACCAACCAACAAGGCAAATGGGAGGCCACCATCAGGTGTGACTGTCTTCCCAGAGAGGCCCTTCCACCCTGCTCCAAAGGCCAGGAAGATGCTCCTTTTTTGGAGGGGTTGAGAAGTTAACAGAAACCATGTTCTCTGCAGGACTGCTGGTCTTTCTAGGGGGTGGCCCTGCAGGTGTGTGGGATGCGGACATCTGATGTGGGGGAACAAAGAACAAAGGTGGTGCAAACATTTTCTGTACTGCTTGGACTCTTAGGATGGACCTGGGAGTGGCTGGAGGGGGCTGGGGGTAGGGATCTGGGTCTTGATGGGAATGGCAACTATTGGCCTTTGTCATTTTATAAGATTTGGAGAGATAAGGGGAACCCCAGCTTCTACTTCCCTGACTGAGCTAACTCCAAGCCTACCTTTAAGACTACAAAGGCCACTGTACTCCAATTCCACAGTATCACTGGTCTTCTCTATGTCTCCCGCCCCCCCCATGCATCAGCTGCAGCCTCAAGGGGAGCCTCTGGACAACCCAGGTCACACATTCTGGGCTTCAGGTTGCTGGGAGGAGGTAGTATTAAGGAGAAGGGTGGACAACGGGTGGGTGAAAACTGGGTGAGAATAGGACTCGGCTTTAAGGCTGTTGATTCTGACTGCACATTGGATTGCTCAAATTTGTTTGATAAAGAAAGATAACTATAGCTCTGCTCCCATCAGGGCTGATATGCAGGCAGCTGGTTTTAAGTTAAAAATTCTTGCCCTAAGCATTAGCTTCCATCTGTTTTAAGATAGTCCCTGTAGCTTTGTGTCCAGACCCTGAGGTCAGAACTGGCCTCCTGCTCCCCCTCAGAGTTCTGAGGGGTCTGAGGGCCATTACTCCCACCCAGCAGTGGTCTCCTGACTGAGGTGGCCCATCCTACCTTGGCTTTGCTCTGTCTCCCCAGGGAATCGAGTCTCTACTACCCCCCACAGGAGTAGGGGTGAAAGAGGAGGGCAGGCACTTGGCGCCCTCAGTGTTTAGACATGTGGGGAGACAGATGGAGCGCGGAGGACTGACAGTGTATACACAGCTCTCCTCTGTATATGTCTGAGGAGTTCGCTGATAAAACCCAGCGGGCAGGGCCAGCTCCCACCTTCCCCTCCACATTGTGCCTGCTGCTGAGCTGGCATCTTGGGGCTCCACCCCTGCATCTTGGAATCTCCCTCCTATACTCAAGCCTAAACCCAGCTGGGCCCCACATGCTGGTTGGGGAGAGGAGGTCTCTTGTTGGTCTCTGTCCCACATCTAGGTCAGTGAGACCCAGGAAACTAAGAAAGGGACAGAGAAGAGAAACAGCTGAGTGATCACGTCTGTGAATTGTAAAATCCCGTTGCTGGAAGGACCAAAGAGGTTGTTCTACCCTGCAGTTACATTGCAAAGAAGGAGAGAGAAGACTGGGGTGCCTTCCAGAGTTATGATGTGCATTATGACAAGGCCTCAAGGCTCCTGGCCCTGGTTGAGTATCTCACCAGCCACTCAGTCCCTGGTAGAAAGCATGCCAGCTTTAAGACTTGACAAAAGCAGATGAATGCAAACACTACACAGATGCCAGCCTGGGTCCCCGTGTGGACCTTGGTTAAGTCATGGAACTTGCCAGGCCCAACCACGGGAGGCAGAGGCTGCCAGCTCTCCCTAAGATGAGGGAGTAGGAGGACAGAGCAGTGAGGTTGCTGGCTGGCAGGACCAGAGCTGTGCATTTGTGCCTGTTACATATACATGCTGGTACTCATCCAGGCTTTTGGGGTAGAGGCCAACTCCTAAAGAGGGACAGGGGCTACCAGAACCATGCCACCAGGGGGACCAAGCTGGGACCCACTAATGGCAGCAAGGGAGGACAATGAGGGGCCGGTCACAGAGGACATGGGAAAGAGCAGCCACAGGCCTTTTCATCTCAGAAGGAAGTACCTCGGGCCACCCCTCTGTGATAAGAGGACCTTCTCAAGTCGCTACAGCCAACTATGGCTGTGGTGGAATCATATGGCAAGAGGATCTCTACCTGGAAGGGTCCAGTGACAGCACGTATGAGCTCCCAGGCAACATGCCTATATTCCTGTGTGGGGCTCCAAAGTTTGTGAGAAAGGTTCAGTATCTTTTAATTCCATTTTCCCACAAACTTTTTGAAACCCCTTTGTATTTCTCCACAGTGTCCTGCCATGCTTGGAGAAGAGAAGGTGACATATGGACCCTAAAAGGGAGAGTCTGACTACTCCCTTGACATTCCCACCTGAGTGACTTACAGTTATCCTAAATTCACCACATTCAAAACTGAGCTCCTCCTCTGCCCCCACACTTGCCTCTACAATTGTCCTCATCTTGGTACCTGAATGGAGCTTTCTTTCCCCAGTGGTACAGACCAAAGACCTAGTGAGCATCTTTGAGTTCTATTCCCCACAGCCATCCACCACCAAGGGCTGCCATTTCTGCCTCCTGCAGAGTTCTTGACTCCTTCCTCCCCTTGTCCAAGCTACCATTGTTTCCTCCTTGGAGGACCACAATAGCTTTCCCTGCATTCAAAAGTAAGGAGCCCTGGTGGCATAGTGGAGTATGTATTGGGTTGCTAACCTCAAGGTCGGCAGCTTGAATCCACCAGCTGCTCCATGGAGAAAGATGAGGGTTTCTACTCTCCTAAAAATGTACAGCCTCAGAAACAGTATCTAGGGTTGGTTGCTGGCAGTGGGCTGGCTGGTGCACTCAAGAGTGAAGTCTAATCTGGGTCTTTCTACCTCCCCTACTTTTTTCTGCCCTTGCCTTTAACTACTCTAACTAAGCTGGTCTTGTCCAGCTCCTCTAACAAGCCAGGTGCCTGCCACCTCAGGGCTCCTACAATATCAGTGTCTCAGAGTGGCTGGCACGGCTCCTTCTCTATACCTTCTTCTAGCTTCATACACATCTATTTGTAGGACTTATTCTAAAACATTCAATGATCAGCTGTGCACTTAGTTGTTTAATGATTAGCTCACTGACTAGAGTGTAGGAGCCATGTTGGTCATGTTTACCCTGAATCTAAATGTGTAGCAAAATGTCTGATACAGAATAGGTGCTGAACAAATATTTTCTGAACAAATGAATATTTGATTCTTTAAAGAAAGATGTCTTTTGCTACCAATCAGGGGCTAGTCTGGCATCCTTGTTGTTGTTGTTGTTGTTAAGTGCCGTTGAGTCGGTTCTAACCCATAGTAACCCTGTATAGGGTTTCCAAGGAGTGGCTGGTGAGCTTGAATGGCTGGCCTTGCGGTTCAAACCGACTTTGTAGTCCAACGCATTAACCCACAGCATCACACCAGGATTGGATGGACCTCTCAATTTTCCTTCTTGTAGGTAAAACATTTGTTGTTGCTGTTGTTAAATGTCATCGAGTAGGTTGCAACTCATAGTGACCCTATGTAGGGTTTCCGAGGAACAGCTGGTGGGACTGAACCTCTGACATTGCAGTCTGCAGTGCTTATCCCACAATGCCACACAAGGATTAAAGCATTGTCTCCTATTACATGCAAAAATTCCTGGGAGGCTTTCTGGACATGGAAATCAAAACTGCAATAAGACATCATTTTATACTCACTACAATAGTGAGGATAGCCCAGGATTGGGCAGTGTTTCACTCTGCTGTGCATAAGGTTGCTATGGGTTGGCACCGACTCGATGGTACCCAACAACAACAACATGGCTATGTGAAAGCTGGCCAGTGAATAAGGGAGACTGGAAAAGAACTGGTGCCTTTGAATCATGGTGTTGCCAAAGAATATTAAAAGTACCATGCATTGCCAGAAGAACAAACAAATCTGTCTTGGAAGAAGTATAGCCAGAATGCTCCTTGGAAGCCAGGATGGCCAGATTTCATATCTCATACTTTGGACATGTTATCAGGAGAGACCAGTCCTTGGAAAAGAACAGCATGCTTGGTAGAGTGGAGAGTCAGCAAAAACACAGGAAGCCCCTCAGTGACATGGATTAACATAGTGGCGGCAACAATGGGCTCAAACATAACAACAATTGTACAATGGCAGACAGTTTTTGGTTCTGTTGTACACAGGGTTGCTATGAGTTGGGACTGACTCTACATCCTCTAACAACAACCACAAGGCAGCTGCAATAAAATAGGTGATCTGTAAAGAAATTGGAATTCTCATCCATTGCTGCTAGGAATGTAGAATGGTATAGCAACTCTGAGAACATTTTGGTTGTTCCTCAAAAAGTTAAAACATAGAAATACTACGGTTGTTTGTTGTTGTTGTTAAGTGCCGTTGAATCGGTTCCGACTCATAGCGACCCTGTACAGGGTTTCCGAGGGTGTAAATCTTTACGGGAGTAGAAAGCCTCATCTTTCTCCCGCGGAGCGGCTGGTAGTTTCGAACCGCTGACGCTACCAGAGCTCCTACTACGGTTGTGGTGGTGGTTATATGCTGTGGAGTCAGTTGCAAGGCTGCAAATCTTTACAGAAGCAGAAAGCTTCATCTTTCTCCTGCAGACTGGCTGGTAGATTTGAACTGCTGACCTTGTGATTAGCAGCCTAACTCATAACCTACTATGCTACTAGAGCGCCTTTAGAAACACTATTATTGTTGTTGTTGTTGTGAAGTGTCGTCAAGTCGGTTCTGACCCATAGTGACCCTGTATAGGGTTTTTGAGGAGCAACTGGTGAGCTTGAACCACCGACCTTGCGGTTCAAACCAGCTTTGCATCTAGGACATTGATCCACAGCGCCACACCAGGACTCCAGAAAAACTTTATGATCTAGCAATCCCATTTCTATTATATCCAAGGGAATATGTCCATAAAAAAACATAGACACACATGCTCATAGAAGCATTATTT